AAAAATTTTCTAAAACCCTAATTTTTCCTCATTTAAGCATTTCTAATATCCTTAGGAACAATATTTGTAAAAGAGGATTCCTCAAAATTCAAAATTTAAGAAAAACCCTAATTTTAAATCTCCAAAAACTCTTCCAAAAATATCATTTCTATCGTTAAAATGCTTTTCTAAACATTACCTTAAAATTTCTTAAAGAGATTTTGGAAGAAAAACATTTTTAGGAAAAACCCTAGGAAATTCAATCTCAAATATCTTGAGATTTAGAAAGTTTCGTTTAAAAATAATCATATCGGAACACTCCTTTCGTCGTCCTCTTTGATTTGGACTAAATCTCTCGCCTGAAAATTGCCGCCAGAGAGGAGCCCGTCGCCTATGTCGCCGCTCCTTTCGTTTCTCTCGGCCAAACCGTGCGAATGAGGAGGGAGAGGGTTCGGTTTGGCTCATAATAGGGAGAAAGGGCTTGCTAAAAGACCATACTACCCTCACTTAAGCAAATTCGGCATAATAAATGGTTAAGGGTAGTTTTGGTATTTTTAGGCTTCTAAAAATAATAACTCCCAAATTAGGCAAAATTGGGTACAAGTTTTTAAAATAAATACCCCTAAAAAAACAATCCAAATTTCGCAAGGAATTTGTCTAAATTATTTTCGTTAAATTTCGTTAACGTTGAAAATTTCACTTAAATCTCGTTGCGAGCGTCTGACAAAGTGTGCGACGACCTAATTCACGCGTCGTTTTCGGTTTTACAGATTGAGTTTTTGAAAGGAACTGAAGCACGAAGTATCAAAAGTGAATAATTACATTTGTGTATCTGAAATTTAATTATTGTATTTTCCTTTAAATTCTAAGGTAATATTTTATAATTAATTTTTCTTATATTTGGATGTTATATGTGTAAGATGATGTTAATTTCAATGTTTTATATGTTTATAATTTAATTTTCTTATATTTGGATGTTATTATGTGTAAAGATGATATGTTAATTCAAATGTATATGTGATGATGAACATTTGACATTTAAAATGAATATTGACAGAAGAAATGGTATGTCAAATAGCATGATAGTTGTGTATGCATATGATTATGTGAATGAAGTATATATTGATTTAAACATATGTAAGGGGAAAAAATGGAGTTCGTAAGTGTATATGGTTTGAATATATTATATATATATATATATATAAAGATGCATGAAAGGAATAATGAAATACATTAAATAATTTATAAAATATAAATGAAAGCATAAATTGGAAAAAAGTAAAAGATATATGCATGCAAATTATAGTTCAACCCCGTATGGTACTGCATGGAGAAGCAATATACTGGTGCATGTTAAATGGAAAAAAATATAAATGGAAATGATTGTATCATTATTAATACATTTAGATGGTGCTCTTGTACTAATTGAAATGAAAATGGATTAAATATCAAATGAAATTAAAAGAAATGTTAAGTGAAAATGGACAAATGAAATAGAATATCAAGTACTTTATGTTAAAAATAAATTATAAAATTTATGGTATATGAAAGAAAGGAGAAAGATGTATATTTATTTTACATGACTAGCTATTGTATATGAAATGATAAATATCCACTAAGTTTATTTTGTAAACTCACTATGTTAACCTATCAATTTCATGTAAGTCTCCTGTTAAATGAAAGTGGCTGAAAGAGAGGAGTACGCCTATAGAAGACGGCGTTCAAATGAAAACAATTAATATATGGTTTATGTAAACGTTAAATTATAAAGATGTTATTAGTAGTTTGATGAAAATTTGTGATAGTGGCCCTTCAGTTTTATTTGGAATGTATTTGATAAACTGTTTTGTATATGAAAATATATTATAAAAGTCCGATTGTTCATTCCCACCTCGTTAATTTGAGTATCAGGGTCGAGTTTTGACAGCCTCGGCCTCTCCATGTATATTCGAGGAGAGTTTTAACAGATTAAATTTATGGGATTATTTTTAGAAGGTAGATTAGATGGAGATAAGATACTAACTACTCAAAGATTTTGCTCTCATATACGATGACATTAAGATCGAGTTCTAGTTTCTTATAGGCGCAAACCCTTATAGTTAATTAGCTCTCACCATAACGACAACTTTTGATTAAGGCTAGTCGTTAGGTAGACATTAAATACCTGACATATAGTAGTAGCAATTTAAATGTTAAAGTTATACTATACATGGTGAAGAAAAATGGGGCTAAGAGGGCCGTAGTGTTTGGAATGCAGGTGTGAGTAGAAGGTGATGGGGAGAGTGAAGGTTTTTGTGCATTGGAAATAAAACAATCACTTGTTGTGCATGGGAAATAAAACAAACAAACTTATCCTTTGCTATAAATGACACTGGGTATATCACATTTGAGTAAAACAAACTTGATTATTCATTGGAAATCAATCTAATAAACAATATCATATTCTCTTAAACAAAATTCGTTGATGTTGACCTCCACATATGTGATAAATCATTGTGAGCGAAGGTGACGAAAGCGACGATCGATGATCGATGAGCATAATCATCTACAAGCATGACGCTTCACTAAACTATCCAAACGACCTCCAATCACTAGATAATTAGATCAACTCACTTTTTCAGTTCTTAACACACACATAGACACTATATATAATGCCCCAGGATTTAAATCGAAAGAATTACACATCATTCTATCTGTTATTCATCAACCGGAGTTCAAATAATTCAATATAAGCGAAAAACATAATTACATAATTGTTCATGACATATTTATATATTTGAAAAGTACCCAAAATACATATATAATAGTCAATAATATGCTACAAATTGACTCACAAAATCAAAGAGGGAGAAATAAAAATCTAAACTATCACCTATTGATTAGCCTCACTCTGCAGGCTCATTACCCTTACCTAAAAGCATATAAAAAAAACACATAATGAGTATATAGTCTAGTAACTAAAACTTACCATTATATTCAGTGTGAACCAAAAGAATCAATATGTCTACTCCAGTTTCAATTAATATTAATCAATAGTAAAACTTATATGATCAGTAAAACCAGATTATTCAATAAGTAAAAATTAGTTTATCCATCTATAAGGAAAATCAACAAAAGATTAGCAATCAAATAATGTGTTGTACAATGGAACTAGCCTTAATTGTCTATCAGTTATATTCGTGTTGATGGCTCTATCATTTACTTCTATCAATCATTATGTCATACATAGTTCTATCACTAAGTCCTGTCAGTATAATCTGTCAATATATTATATCAGTATGCCTATTAGTATATTGTATCAATATGTCTATCAATATTATTACTATTTATGTAGTATGCTATGCCATATTATATGAGTATCAATACAGATTCTATCTATGAATTAATTCATATGGTATCATATAAATACAATAATTGATGTGATTATGAATTGCAAGGCATTATATCCAACTTTAATGTAGTGTTTTCAACATCTTCAATCCCAACCATCGATCAGTTGATCATCAGTCTTTAATTTAATCTTAGTTGTCGACCAATTGGTCATCAATTCTTATCTTACCATCATTGTTCATAAATCTTAAATCAATCACAAATGTCTTTCAATAAATCATTGAGAGTCGTCACTATCTGCCCATCGGTATAATTCAATCAATCGATTATAGGCTTTAACTAGGATTACATCACAAATTTTTTATTTTAAAGGAAAGCTTGTTCACCCACCCTCCTGTACTAGTAATTTGTTTTAGGAGTCGACTTATATTAATTATAGTGTTGACAGTCAATCTTGCTTTCTCACATTCAAATACCACATGCATCTTACATCCCAGTTATACAATTCTCTCTATGCAATACAATATCATATATGAAATGCACTAATCTATGAAGTATAGAAAAATTTATAAACTATGCATTTACTTCAGAAAATCATTATTATTATTTTACCTGGCGAAATTTTATAATATTAAGTCAAAATGCTTATAAGAGTCATTTATCATATACAAAAAGTTACATGGTGAAAGGTTGATAAATTAGGAGAAAATATGTTTTTGGCTGATTCAGTAGAGATATAAATCATAGAAATCAAAGCCATAAAAAATAAGAGTAAGAATATAGTTACATTAATTAGAACAAAATTTGTAACAGAAGCGATGGACGAAAACACTCTGAAGCACTTCTTCTCCCCTTTTGCTCTTATCTTCTGTCTCCCTTCTTTTCTTTCCCTCCCTAGCAAGCCAAATGAATGAGGGGAGGTAAGGTGATGGTAAGGGATATTTAAATGAAAAAAAAAAAAAATTTAGTTTTTGGCACCGTGACGCGCAAAATCCAACATCGAAGTCCTATATGTCACCCATAGAGTTACTGTAGAATAGAGAGCTCTGCGCTGCGGCGGGACTTTCCCGACAATGCTGTGATTGCAACCTAGTGCTGCCTACTGGATTAGATTTTCATGTTTTTCAAAAAGAATTCCTTTTTAAATTTTGGGTTGTTACACTATCTTTCAATTGAATTGTGTGTTAATGCGTTGGTTTGTCCCACCTTTTTTGAACTTCCTCTTGTAGTAAATGATGGATTTTCACCCTGAGAACTGGATCAATTGGCTAGGCTCACTTTTATGTTTTATCTAATCACACCTTATATATTATTCAATCTTTATTCCATCTCAGGCAATAGTTACTTGCATATTCCATTTTTTCCTGTGAACTAACTTCAGGTCTTCTTAGGATTTGTTCTATGATTTGAAAATTCTTTCAGGGCTAGTTAAGAGCACCAGAAAGAACAGGTACTTTGGGCTTAAGAGTCTCTTTAAACCGGCTATCAAACAGAGACTTAAATAACTAATCCGAATCATGAATAAGTAGAAGTAAAAACTTAATATGTGGAATTCACTTAATCTTAAAATTGCTGGATAGTTTATGTAGTTGCCTTGTACTTGCAGAGTTCATCTCCTTAGATTTATAGATTCATTCACCTGTGGCCAGTAGCAAAAACCAAAAAAGTGCTTATGACTGGTACTATTATAGGAGGTATATCGAATCAGGCTTCCAGGTCCACCAATTATCGGAGAAGGTAAACCTGAGAACCAAAATCATGCCATTATCTTCACTCGTGGGGAAGCTCTACAAACAATTGACATGAATCAGGTACATGATGAATGTATTTAGCTCCTTGTTTTGTCTCATTCTATTCACATGAAAGCTATCTGTTCTTTCAGGATAACTATTTCGAAGAAGCTTATAAGATGAGAAACCTTCTGCAAGAGTTTAGTCGCCATTCAGGCCAACAACGTCCAACTATAGTTGGCCTTAGAGAACACATATTCACGGGAAGGTTTGTTTATTTCTCTTGCAGGCCTCTATGAATAGTGTATAGGTGAAACTGTTAGGCCGAAGCACTAATCCACGTTTATAACTAATATCATAGAACTATAGAAGAATTATACTGCGTTTGACATATTGCAATGTTCAACTGATTTCAGTATATCTTCCCTTGCTGGTTTCATGTCTTACCAAGAAACTAGCTTTGTAACGATTGGGCAGCGGTTCCTAGCAAATCCTCTTCGGTAAGCATTGGTTGCTAAATTATGTACTTTGTTTAGCTATTGGATGGTTTGTGCTTATAATTGTCTCTGCAATAATACTTCTAGTGGTATAACGTAGTTTTTTCTGGGCCTGTTTTTTTGTTCTATTTTCGCTTGTTGAAAACATACAATTAATTCTGTACACATCTTCACCTTTTCAGGGTACGGTTTCACTATGGACATCCGGACCTTTTTGACAGGATATTTCATATAACACGAGGTGGAATAAGTAAAGCATCGAAGAATATCAATTTGAGTGAGGATGTATTTGCTGGTAGAGATTGAGCAATTGATTAACAGTTTTGGTTATTTTAATTACCCTGTGTGACATTCTGCAACACTTTCCAGGATTTAATTCTATACTGCGCCAGGGCCATGTAACTTACAATGAATATATGCAAGTTGGCAAAGGTCGTGATGTAGGGCTCAACCAGATATCAAAATTTGAAGCAAAAGTGGCAAATGGAAACAGTGAACAAACTCTTAGTCGTGACATTTACCGCCTTGGGCATCATTTTGATTTCTTCCGGATGCTTTCATTTTATTTCACTACTGTTGGATACTATTTTAACAACCTTGTATGTATTTTCAAGACACATTTTCTTGGTTCAAAATGGGATCATTGTCTATGTTCTTTTCATGTTAGCACTTTTGCTTACCGCAATTTAGCAAATTCATTGTCACCTTATCCGTTGCATGGATCTTGTTTAACAATTCATACGAAATTTGATTCTCTAAATTTTTCTTTTACATTTATTTTTATACTTTAAAGTTCTTTAGCTACCAATAAATTGGCTTAGCCTGTATCTCAGTCTCCATTACATGATCATTTTTGTCATTAATTAATTCCTTATATTGAGAATTTGCAGGTGTCAGTCTTTGGGGTGTATGTATTCCTATATGGGCAGCTATATCTTCTTCTAAGTGGGGTGGAAAGGGCAATCATTCTTGATACTCGACTGCAGAACATTATATCTTTAGAAACTGTGCTTGCAACTCAGTCTTTCCTCCAACTAGGGCTTCTTACTGGATTGCCAATGGCGATGGAACTTGGCCTGGAAAAGGGATTTTTATCAGCCATCAGCGATTTCATTCTCATGCAATTGCAACTTGCTTCTGCTTTTTTCACATTTTCTCTGGGAACAAAGGCACACTATTTTGGCCGAACTATTCTTCATGGTGGGGCCAAATACAGGCCAACTGGCCGTAAATTTGTAGTTTTCCACGCAGGGTTCACAGAGAACTATCAGTTATACTCTCGGAGCCACTTCGTTAAAGGATTTGAATTGATCTTCCTCTTGACAATTTATAATTTGTTTAGAATGTCTTACGAGAGCAACATAGCATACATGATGATCACATACTCCACATGGTTCATGGCCATAACTTGGCTCTTTGCACCATTTATTTTCAATCCTTCTGGTTTTGCTTGGCGGATGATTGTAGAGGATTGGGCTGATTGGAACAAGTGGATGAACAATGTGGGGGGCATTGGTGTGCAACCAGAGAAGAGCTGGGAATCATGGTGGAATGCTGAGAATGCTCATCTGCGTCATTCTGGACTGTGTTCTAAAATTGTTGAAATACTACTTTGCCTTCGTTTCTTCATCTATCAATATGGATTGGTTTATCACCTTGACATATCTCAAGAAAACAAAAACATAGTTGTTTACATGCTATCATGGTTTGTAATAGTTGCTGTATTCTTACTAGTCAAGGTATGTTGCTGCAGTTACATAGCAAGATTTCATTATTCTAAAATGTCTTTCTAATGAACCTCTCTCTTCCTATGCTATGTTATACAGGTAGTTGGTGAGGGAAGTCGACGACTCAGTGCAAATCACCATCTCATTTTCCGGTTTCTGAAGCTGCTTATATTTCTCTCTGTGCTTGTTGGCATATTTACCATGTTGAGCGTTTGCCAACTATCCATTATGGATCTGGTGGTATGTTGCCTTGCATTTCTTCCAACCGGCTGGGGATTGTTGTCAGTAAGTATCAATGAGTGGGCCTTGTTGGTCTCCTTGCGTAAATTATCTCAAGGTTTTATAGTAACGGTAATATTTTAAACTTTTTACAGGTAGCTCAAACTTTAAGACCCAAGATTGAGGAATATGGACTATGGGAATCAGTAAAAGTTATTGCTCAAGCCTATGATTATGGAATGGGTGGTTTGCTTTTTATACCCATTGCAATGCTCGCATGGATGCCCTTAATCTCTGCAATCCAAACTCGAGTTCTTTTCAACCAGGCATTTACACGGCAATTACAGATTCATCCAATTCTTTATGGAAAGAACAAGAACAGGTGATTTATAGGTTTTGTTTGGGTTGACTTTCTTATTGCTTCTTAAAATAGCTTCTTAGTATAAAAGTTTAAATTTTTATACTAGGAAATTGCTTTAAAAAATAGTAAAAAAGTTGTCCCAACGAATGCATAATCTTGGACTGCTATTACTTTCGCTGAAAGCATTCATTGTGATTTTCAGCTTTCTGTATAGGCCTTATGTAAGTGCCAATGCCTATGACAGTTTACAATTCAATATTAAACCTTTATTATATTATATTTCCTGATTCATCTCTTAAAATTTTGAAGGTTGGAGATTAGTAGTTAGTTCTAACAAGTAACAGTTGTGGATTGATGGGCTTTTCCCAAACAAATGCCCTTCCAACGGTCACTTTCGGCCTCATCCTAATTAGCCTCATCCTAATTATTTGGACTTCGCTTTATGAATTCTTATGTTCCATTTGAGAATCTAAATTATGTTTATTGTGAGATGTTAAATGCAAATGATTTGGAAAATTTTCTCAAAAATATGGCATGTCTTTTCCATGGAAAATCTTAGGATTGATGGGCTTTTCCCAAAAGATTTGGCATTGCTTAGGTGGACCCATCAACACTGCAAAACAAAATTTGGTTTAATCTGCCCAAGCAAGTGTTACTTGCATTAAATTATTCAGGCTGGTTAACAATTCTATTTTTTATTTATTTTTTCAAAAATTCTTTTAATTTTTTCATTAATATTTGGGATTGATATACGTTGTTTTAATTTTTTTTTTTAAATTATCATTTAAAAAAATTAAATAAAAAAATGATATATGTTTTTCTGGAGGATATTTATACTAAGATAAATTTACACATCACATTCCTAAGATTTTCACCCATGACCTATTTGTTAGTTAGCTAAAACATCCAAACAATAAATCAAGATGAGCTATATATACATTTATTTATTTATTTTATTGTCAATACAATTTAATGTCTTTTTCAATATAAGAGATTAAAGTATCATTCAGTCATTGATCTTTAATTATATTTTATAATAAAATATGAAATAATTTAATCTTAAAGTTATATACCCATATATGTTAAATTTGAAATTCAAGACCTTTGGTGCTAAATTACTCGATCAGTATGCCTAGAGAGGTTGCATTTTTACTCATTTTATTCTTATTATATACCTTTCACAATGAAAAGACATGCCATATAAAAATTTTTGATGTCAATGCCAAATCTTGAATTGAATCCCCTAGGTATGTTGGTAGCAACAACAACAAATCTTTATCCTATTATGTGGGGTAGGCTACATGAATCTTTTTGTTCATTGTCTTGTTAAGAGACAAATTTTCATCTAAATCTAATAAAGAAATGTTATTTATAATATTTTCTAACGAGATCTTTTTAGGTCTACCTCTACATTTCTTAACGTAAATCAAATCTAATACATCTATTATCCTAATCGGGTTATTGGAAGGCCGCCATTTTATTTTGCCAAGCCATCTATGGATACTCTCTCTAATCTTTACTTTTAGAGATAGGTATACGTGTATACCTATCTCTAAAAGTAAAGCCGTTCATCCACCTGAGCATCCTCATCTTTGCAACACTTAACATAATATTATGCTTATCTTTTAATAGCCAACATTATGCACCATAAAATATTGCAGGTCTCACCAGCATCTTATAGAATTTTCCCTTAAGCTTGAGGGGGGCTTTTTTATCACACAACAAGCTTGATGCATCCCTCCACTTCAACCATCCAACTTAATTTATGCTAATAATTTCCCCATCCATCGCACCATCACTATGAATAATAGACCCAATATATCTAAAATGTGTACTCTTATTAATGATTTGTTTGGCCAAAATCACAATCCCCCCACTAAATATATTATTATTAAAATTACATTTTATATATTCAGTTTTTTATTTACTCAAACAAAAGCCTTTAGACTCTAAGGTTGACCTCCATAATTTAAGTTTTACCTGTAACTCCCTCTCTCTAGTCTTACCAATAAGAAGAATATCATCAGTAAAAAAGCATATACGGTGGTACAACCTCTTGCAAATGTCTAGTGAGAGCATTCATGGCTAAAGCCAAAATATATGGGCTTAAGGCTGATCCAATTGAAATAGGAAAATACTCCGTCAAACCATCTTGTGTTTGAACACAAGTAACATCTCATGCAAACATATTCTTAATGACTTGAAAATAAGCATTATTAACCCCTTTCTTATTTAGATTTCTCCATAGCACTTCTCTTGGAACTTTATAATATATTATTTCTCTAAATAGAAAAAATCATATGTAGATCCTCCTAATTCTCTCTATAGTTCTCCAATAAACCTCTCAATAAATGTATAGCTTCCATAGTAGACCAACTTGGCATGAATCCAAATTGATTTTGAGAAATATCAGTGTCATGCCGCAACCTATGCTCCATAACTCTCTCTCATAGTTTTAAAATATGACACATTAACTTAATTTTTCTATAATTCACATAATATTTTGCATCACCTTTATTGCTAAAAATAAGAATCAACATACTCATTCTCTACTTATATGACATCTTTTTAGTTTTCAAAATAATATCAAAAAATTTAGTGAATCAATAAATTCCTTCATCTCCTAAACATTTTCACACCTCTATTGAAATATCATTAGGTCCAATAGCTTTTTCAAACATCATTTTTTTAAATCTTCTTTAACATCAGTTATACTAATACACTAATAAAAATAAAAAAAAACTTTTTATTTTCATTTAAGGTGTTAAGATCACTAAAATCAATCGCATTCTTACAATCTTTAGTGTATGTGTTGAGGGACCATCCTGATTCTTGAGGATAAACCTTTATTAAGAAATTTCTCATCATAGAAATTTATCCATCATGATGTATCATGTCATGTGATCTGGGTTGGATGTGTGTGCTGATATATTGAGAGAAAAAAAAGTACTCTACAAAGAATTTCTATACCCATCCCTCACCCATCATGAATTTTATAAATGACATTATTACATGATGGAGGTGATCCATCTTCATTCATGACAACAAGCAATTCATTGAAGAATTCAGGTCCCCACTCAGGCACTCATGCATTTGAAGCTCAACCAATTCTTTTCCCAAACTTTTTTTTCCTAAAAAAAAAAGCAAAAGAAGATTTGGTTAAGATATGGAGAAGGATTATTTCCAAAACAAAAGAGATGTGTAATGGCATTGTATGCATGGGGGCCATCTTGTGCCAATTTAGGCCATCCATAGTATTTACAAGCCTGCTGCTCTCCATGTGCGCTTATGTGTACGTGCATTGTTTTATACGTCGGGGGACCATTCTTTTATGTATAGCTGTAGAGTTGTTGCTTAAAGCAGCTTTCTAGTAAAAAAAGAAAATTTTTATACTAAAAAAATGCTTTGATAAGCAATAAAAAAGCAGTCCCAAACAAAGCCTTAAAACGTCTCAGATTGTTACTTGAGATGTTAAACATATGCCAAAAATGCATTCACTACCCAGTTCTTATAAATGAGACTCTTCATAGGGATACCCATTTAGAATAAGTCAAATCCCCATGATGACTAGAGAACAAGATCCAAAATATTCAAATAAATTCATAGCTCACAAACTCTCTAGCTCTTTTTACAATAGCAATTCCCAAAAAGCTGGTAAAAATAGAGAGTGAAACAGATTGATGACAGATACTTCCAACTAGGACACACAGAGACCGACCAATCAGCAGGACATGGAAGAGTAGCTTTAATATGATATATTTCATCTTCATACGACCACAGGCTAACAAGCAGCAACACAATATTGTATCTACCTTGCCAGAACCTCATTTAAACAGACAAAGCATGCAACATATTTATTATTTGTTTTGATTCTCTTGAGTTGTGAAGGAGCCTTAGGCTTCATTTGGAACGGCTTTCTTTCTGCTTCTTAAAGCGGTTTTCTAGTATAAAAATTAAAAATTTTGTACTAAAAAACTGTTTTAAGAAGCAATAGAAAAGCTGTCCAAATGAAGCCTAAGTTAACAAAAACAGGATGGGTATGTATTAAATGGAATTTGATAAGTATGGGTTTAATCAGTTTAACTACAATCCTGATAGTGAACTAGAACCAACAAGTTGGACAAAATTTGCAGTTCAAGACCTGGAAACATTTACTTGAGAGGTTTTACACTTAAAAAACTGGATTTTAATTTGGGAAAAGCTGAGAGACCTGAAGCAAAACTGTTTGTAATTAACTTGTGATACTGTGGGTAAACCAATTTCATTTAGCTTTTTCATAATCCAAACACACAATTAAACAGTAAAGATTCTATAATCTTAAAACACCTTAACAATAGAAAAGCAATCATCAATGGTACATGAAAAAGTTAAAACAAAAGATGTATGTAAACAACATGAGCTGTTCAAAAAAGACTCTTTTAAATCGAATTTCATGCATCACAAGTTTCATTCTGAATTAATAATCAAGTATCTAACAAGTGCAAAAGATAATTTATCCAAGCAATAGATATCACAAACCTATCTTTTCAGTTATCACATCAACAATCTCCATAAGTTTCCCATCACCCATAATGACGCAGCCTTCACGTTCCATGAGTTGCCAGTCAGAAACAAAGTATATTCTCTGAAATACAATGTTACGCATCTAAGCAACTAGGTTTTACCAAACAAGCTTTCAGTTGCTCCATTTCTCCAACCAAATTCCTGAGCTTACTATCATGTGTCATGATACCATCTTCACATTTCTCAAGTTTATTTAAGATTTGTTCAAGATTACCAAAAGTTTTTAGCAATTCCTCGCGCTTCTCTTCCTCTTTCACTAATCGATTCTTTTCAAACTCCCTCGCACTAACAACCAAACCACCTGTCCCAGGAAGGTCCTTGTAAAGAGATTCATCATCACGTGGGTGCTGCTTTCTATAGTCAGCAAATCTACCACGACTTTCTTTTAAAGCTCTTTTATAACCAAGCATCATTTGGGTCACTAAGCATAGTTCATGCTCGTAATGGCGAACAGCCATCTGCCAATTTTGCTGCCCTTCCAACATCATTTTTAATGAATGAATCGTCAGCTCCTTATCATGAACCAAATGATTCAGATACTGCAACTGCTCTTCCATCTTGGCAACTTCTTGTTCTTTCTCGGAATACAGTATCTTTGCTCTCTTAACACCACCTTGAACCTGATTCATGCAGTCATCAAAAGAGAATGACAGGTTTGCCCAAGGTTCACATGTCCGCATCCTATTTTGATGGCATTTTTGTTCAAAATGGTCTCTTTCCTCATCCCCAATCTCATCAAGATGCCTCTTTCCATTATAGCCAAAATAGATAGAACCACTCGAACCACGGTCCAGAATATCGTTCTTGTGAGACTCAGTACGCATGGACAATAGCACTCCTGAAGATGGATTGAAGGAGTTCACCTGTGCAGCATAAGGAATGCTCACATTGTTCATTTCCTGCAAGAGGTCGGATGGATTCAGCCTCTCAAAATTAGAAAACTTAACTAGAACGCCATTTGCAAACCTCTCTTCCACATTTTCGTCTTCATCCATCTTAGCCAAATTCTCGAAATCCATGCTGTCAGAAGCTTTCGAATTGCAACGCCTCAGACATTGCTCAAAACCCTCATTTTTCCCCTCTTGAAGCCACTCGCTTTCTACATTTACCTTGCAATCATCAAAATCATCCATCACATTATCACCCAGTATCAAACATAACTCAGAGTCATGCCTCTCAGAAGAGACGTCCACCAAGTCCTGCAAACTCCTCGTCTTTCTGATATCAGCATCACCGTCTTCTTCTGTCAAATGGACCTCTTCTGCAGCATCAGCCTCATCCTCTGCCACATTAACTGCCTCATCCGGTACTGAAACCTCCTCTTCCTCGGGCTCAGGCGCAAGAAACACAGGGTCTGGTTCCTTTGAAAAAAGCTGAGGACGTTGGTGCTCAATCAAACGCTGCAGATGAGAGGCATAGCAAAAAGTCCCGGACTTGAGGCCTTCTTTTAGTTCCTTCTCAACCAAAACCCACATAACTGCTGCCCAATCCACCTTATACGGAACCCCTTCTTTCACAAAATCAATCGCCTGAACGACCTCCGAAGGCAGTATTAACAATTCCTCAAAAAGCATGTAATTAAACATGAAATCCAAGAGGGCTGTGTTAGCCCCTTTTGCAGAAACTAGTTCTTGCATCCAATCTTTTTCCAGGAAAGCATCAGTTTTCTCCTTCTTAGTTGCTAGGCCGATGGCCCGCGCAAGATCGACGCGACTTACAGAGATCCGAGTGCCCTGCACGTAGCTGCGATGGCTGGAGGAATCATAGTATGCGATCAGATCGGCAAGGAGGTCCGGGCGAACCTCTTCACCGAGCTGTAGGTGGGCGAAGTCCCAGAGACCAAGCGCTTGGAAGAGCTGCTCGTGCTCCGAAAAATCTAGGGTTTTCCCCGGGGAGAAAGGGACCGGGCGAAAGTTTTTGTTGAGGATCAAAAGCCTCTCTTTTTTTTTTTTAACTAGAAAAACTATATGACAAGAATAAATGTTTTTCGGAAGAAATTTCTAACCTGAGGCATTATTTCTCTGAAGGTATTCGACCGGAAATTTGCTTCGAACTCACGGCAAATGCTTGCGAACTACGAAGGAAAAGAACATTTGCAGAAGTTGCTTCGTCTTTGAATCTAGTAAAGCGAAGTGAAAATCTACAGGGTAGGAACTTATTTAAATATTACCACACCTTGATGGGCTGGTTGTCGGGATGTCATGGCTTTAAAATACGCACGTGCGACATACCCAGTATTTGTCGAGCGAGTTCGCAGTTTTGTGCCTGCTACATGGCGCTATCTCAGTGGTGATTGAACGTAGAGCTATGTCCGATCACCAGACCAAATAACTGCTCTACAGTAAGAGCCACGAATCATATCTCAGTTGATGGGAGAAGCTCAGAATAGAATTTCCACTGTTAGAGAGAATAAGTGAGATATGTATTTATAGGTATTTCATAGGTTAAAGTCGCCTTCCAAGAGTATAGTAGAACCACATATAGGGGAAGATTGGTTATAAAGACTTAAAAAAGATAGTTGATGGAATGTAGAGTATAGAGAATAAAGTAACGCAAGCTTTATTTATATTTGAGGGAGAAGCAAAGCATTGATGAATAGTGTTGACCTCATTTTTGACATCGATCGCTTGCATGACCTTCTTACATATTTTATAGACCTTCCTTCGTATTGCATCAATGGGTCTGATGAAGGGACAAGCCGCAAATTTTACATTGATTCGTCCTTGACTTTAGAATTTATTTCTTTTGGTCACATATTGTCCTTTTTTTATGTTTTAAAAATATATGTGATCAAGTTGATACCAATTTGATGAGTATTCTATGTGAATTCAAGCATTTGAACTCTTTCATGCCCATATTCATCTTCTACGCAATTTTTTTTTTTATCGAGATCTTGTCTTGCGAAATGAATCAAACCATTACAGCCGGCTCATCAAGACAGATCAAATGAGTCTATTCGTGCTCGAATAGGAAACCATTTGACATTTGTCGAGAAGAGAGAGCTTAAAATTAGATTTATTCTTTTTGCATATTTAAAAAGAGAGAGAGCTCAAAATTATATATATATATATATATGAAATTTTCTCTAATTTGTTTTATAAATTGATGGTTAGTGGTTCTAGTTTGTTAGTAGAAGATTTAAAAGAGATAGTTCATCCTAATTAGTTCTAGGACATCTCAACTATAGTATCAGAGCAATGATTTATAGAAGAATTGAATATAATTAGAGTCGTAGAAATTGAATAGAAATGGGTAGAAATTGGGTAGTTCTAAGGTGCATTTCTTTACATAGATTTAAACGCATATCTATGGTTAGATTATAATTTATTAGGCCAAAGAACTATACAAGTGAGCTAGTATGGATACAAATGATCAAGGTGTGCCAAATATGCAAAGTGATGTAGTTCTAATGATTTCCTATAGTCTGATGCAATTTGATAGCCGATAGCATAACTCATGAGTAAATCATATAGTAAGCAGCCTGGTAGTAAAGAAAGAGAAAATGATAAACATTTATAGATGTTCCACAAGTTAAAGCCCTCATTGTTTAAAGAAGCTATAGAACCATAGGTATCAAAAGGATTGGCTGCTAAGGATAGAGAAAAACTTTATAGTTTGCATTATCTAGAGAATATGAAGGTTGTTGAGATAGTTGCAACTTAATTTTTGATTGTTTATATTATTACAACATGTATGTTTTTGATGATTCCAAATATTATTGTTTTAATTATTATTTCTCCTAACATATTTTGGATGCATTGTTTTGCTATTTGTGTGTACTAACATTTCAGGAAAATCATACTCCAGATTGTTGAAGACTTCAAATTAGATCAGTTTAAGGTTTATTGTATATGAATTCATTTTTTTTATTTTATTGAGCCTGAGAGAGTGTGATTATAATTGACTAACTATGCACACACACACATCGGGGGGGGGGGAGAGGGTGGTAGAGTTTAAAATCTAAAATTTTTAAACCAATCATACTATACGATCTGTTTTTGTATGGGACGATCTGATCAGTTATTTTTCCTTTCGAGCAATCAAATGAATAGAAATAAAATTTTTTTAAGTATCAATCATAATGTACAATCACATTTCGTACATGCCTTCCAGAGTACAAAATGGACGGGTCCCTGGTCGCTTAAAAAGATTTTTTCTATGGATTGTACTGTATGATCACATTTTGTATATTCCTTTTAGAGTACGAAATTGTGAGGTCCCTCTTCATCCCAACTTTTCATCTAGACGAATTTGAAAATTTTTTGAATTGCTTGTACCTACGATGTCGTCATCGTATGTACGCCGTTTAGAGTACGAAATGGATGAGTCCCTTTTCATCCCGATGACGAACTTGAAATTTTTCATAACTGATCGTTCCATATGATGTTATCATCGTACGTACACCATCGAGGGTATAAAATTTTAGGGTCCCTCTTCATCCCGACGAAGTTGAAAAATATTTTAAATATTCGTCCCAGACAAACTTGGTTCATACCGGATGATGATCGTGTACGAAATGGTTTCATATCGATTCACAATAGGTTCATACGCAATAGTTTTTGAACTATTCGTACATACGAAATATGATCATAATGTACGATCGTGTATGATCAAAATTAAAAATTTTAAGTTTTTGGATAATTTTTCATGTATTTTGTATAAAAGGTCCACTAAAAACTGACGTAAAGAGTCTTGTCTTCATGATTTTTTAAGGGCATTTGCAAGAGAGAGTGTGAGAGAGTGTTTGAGAGAGATTTCTTACAAGTGAAGTGTGAAGGGTTCACAAGGTTACTCAAAGGTAAGGTTATCTTTGTAATTTTGGTTATTACTCTTCCTATTGTCTTTCTAGATTGCTCGTGAGAAGATCTTTGAAGAAGATTCGATACTCTAAGGACACTTGGAGGGTGTGAAAGGACGAAGGTTCTCTGCCTACACTTGAAGGGTGTGAAAAGAGGAAGGTACTCTGCCTACACTTGGAGGGTGTAAAAGGATGATGGTTCTTTACTGACACTTGGAGAGCATGAAAACACAACGGTTCACTGCCCACACTTGAGAGTGTGAAAGGATGATAGTTCTCTACCAACACTTAGAGAGTGTGAAAGGATGTCGATTCTCTGCCACACCGGGGATTGATGGAAGAGAGGTTTTTATGAAGGGTTCTCCACCTTATTGTGGGGGAAAAAGGAGAATTACTTTGGTAATAGTGTAATACCTTAAGAGGGAGTCTTCAGGGAGTGGATTTAGGTTGTGTTTAACCGAACCACTATAAATCTTTGTATCTTTTATATTTCCGCATTTATTTACTGCAAGTTATTTTCTGTGGATAAAAAATTATTTTGAAACTTTAATTAACTTACTTTGAGAATCAACAACTTTTAAATTTTAAATTAAAGAGAAATTTTTTAATTACCAATTCACCCACCTCTTGGTTAGCCTTAGGATAATATCTTAGGCTTAACAACCTAATTAAGATTCAATAAGTGGTATCATAGCTTTATTTTAAAACCATAAGTTTTGACTACTTTTTGATAAATGAGACAGGCTACTTTTGAAAACCGAAACACACCTGAATGGTATTTGATCACTACACCTCCGTTATTTGACAATATTCATTTTAATTTTTGGAAAACACGCATGTCTACTTTTCTGCAATCACTATATTATTATATGTGAATTTTAATTCAAGAAGGGTATACAAAATAAACTAGATTTATTAATGAAATTAGAGTTGAAACACCCTTTGCTGACTAGAATGTAGAACAACGTGACTTAGCACAGTTAAATGCTAAATACTTAAACAGTTTCTTTTGTGCACTTAAGTCAGACGATTACAAACGGGTTTCTACTTGCAAAAGTGGAAAAGACATATATGATGGACTTTATATTAGTTATGAATGGACTAATAAAGTAAAATAATCTAGATTAAATATCTTGTTATATGATTATGAATTATTTTGCATGAAATTTAATGAATCTATTATGAAATGTACATAATATTCACTCAAATAGTTACTTCTTTACATACATTAGGTAGGGAATTAATGAATGCTGAATTGGTGAACAAAATACTTTATTGTTTGCCTGCTGCTTATGATGCTAAGATAACTACCATAACATAGTCTAAATATTTAAATGTTTACTCTATTGACAATCTTCTTGGATCACTAATTGTTTACGAGCAAGGAGTGAGTCAAAGAAAGATTGATGCATGAGACCAACGAAAGGAGAAGAATATAGCACTGAAAGTAGAGGAATTAGAGAGTGATCAATCACAACCTGAGGATGAGGAAGACATTGCTTTGATGACTAGGCAATTCAGAAGTATTCTTATAAGTAAGAAGAGGAGACACCAATAGTGAAACAGAGATAAATCTAATAAGAATATTAAGATTTATAATGATGTGATTTGTTATGAATGCAGAAAACCTAGATATATAAAATCGGATTGCCCCAATCTCAAAGCCACTCCTAGCAAGGAGAAGGTAGAGGAGAGAACAAATGTGAAGAAGGGTAAGAAAAGATTTCAAAGGGCTTTTTTGGTGGACTCAGCTTCAGATTCGTCATAAATAAAAAAGGAGGAAGAAGTCACCAATTTGTGCTTAATAGTCAATAATCTTGATCAGTCAGATCAAAAAGAGGTATGTGACTTGGCTTATAATAAATTGCTAGAAGTTTCTGAAAGAATTCATGACGCATATAAAAAGCTTAAGAAAATACATGCTAGTCTAAATCTTGAAATGCAAGAATTACAAAAAGAATATGAAATCCTTAGAAAAGATCATGCATTGATAGATAATAATCATATGAGCTTACTTGATGAATTTGATGACTTGAACAAAAAGAATGATCTTTTAAAATCATCCTATGTGCAATTAAAAAAAGATTTTAAAAATTTTAAGGATGAATCAGAAAATAAAGAGTTAGTATTTGAATATAGATAAG